CGCTGTTGTGGTGGTGGTGAGTTGTATTAACCGCTGTTGTGGTGGTGGTGAGTTGTATTACCGGCTGTTGTGGTGGTGGTGAGTTGTATTACCGGCTGTTGTGGTGGTGGTGAGTTGTATTACCCGCTGTTGTGGTGGTGGTGGTGAGTTGTATTACCGGCTGTTGTGGTGGTGGTGGTGGTGAGTTGTATTACCGGCTGTTGTGGTGGTGGTGAGTTGTATTAACCGCTGTTGTGGTGGTGGTGGTGAGTTGTATTACCGGCTGTTGTGGTGGTGAGTTGTATTATCCGCTGTTGTGGTGGTGGTGGTGATTTGTATTACCCGCTGTTGTGGTGCTGGTGATGGTGAGTTGTATTGACCGCTGTTGTGGTGGTGGTGGTGAGTTGTATTACCCGCTGTTGTGGTGGTGGTGGTGAGTTGTATTACCCGCTGTTGTGGTGAGTTGTATTACCCGCTGTTGTGGTGGTGGTGGTGAATTGTATTAACCGCTGTTGTGGTGGTGGTGGTGAGTTGTATTACCCGCTGTTGCGGTGGTGGTAGTGGTGGTGAGTTGTATTACCCGCTGTTGTTGTGGTGGTGGTGGTGAGTTGTATTACCGGCTGTTGTGGTGGTGGTGGTGAGTTGTATTACCGGCTGTTGTGATGGTGGTGGTGAGTTGTATTAACCGCTGTTGTGGTGGTGGTGGTGAGTTGTATTACCCGCTGTTGTGGTGGTGGTGGTGAGTTGTATTACCGGCTGTTGTGATGGTGGTGGTGAGTTGTATTATCCGCTGTTGTGGTGGTGGTGGTGAGTTGTATTACCCGCTGTTGTGGTGGTGGTGGTGAGTTGTATTACCCGCTGTTGTGGTAATGGTGGTGAGTTGTATTACCGGCTGTTGTGGTGGTGGTGATGGTGAGTTGTATTGACCGCTGTTGTGGTGGTGGTGGTGGTGGTGAGTTGTATTAACCGCTGTTGTGGTGCTGGTGATGGTGAGTTGTATTGACCGCTGTTGTGGTGGTGGTGGTGAGTTGTATTAACCGCTGTTGTGGTGGTGGTGGTGAGTTGTATTACCCGCTGTTGTTGTGGTGGTGAGTTGTATTCCGTCACACACACGCACACGCACACCCCCGTCACACACACGCACACCCCCGTCACACACACGCACACCCCCGTCACACACACACACACATGCCCACATCCGTCACACACACACACACGCGCCCACATCCGTCACACACACACACACGCCCACATCCGTTACACACACACACACACGCCCACATCCGTCACTCACACACACACACACACGCCCACATCCGTCACACACACACACACACACACGCCCACATCCGTCACACATACACACGCCCACATCCGTCACACATACACACGCCCACATCCGTCACACACACACACACACACGCCCACATCCGTCACACACACACGCCCACATTCGTCACACACACACGCCCACATCCGTCACACACACACGCCCACATCCGTCACACACACACGCCCACATCCGTTACACACACACGCCCACATCCGTCACACACACACACACGCCCACATCCGTCACACACACACACACACGCCCACATCCGTCACACACACACACACACGCCCACATCCGTCAGACACACACACACACACACACGTCCACATCCGTCAGACACACACATACACACACGCCCGCATCCGTCACACACACACACACACGCCCACATCCGTCACACACGCCCACATCCGTCACACACACACACACGCCCACATCCGTCACACACACACACGCCCACATCCGTCACACACACACACACGTCCACATCCGTCTCACACACACACACACGCCCACATCCGTCACACACACACACACGCCCACATCCGTCACACACACACGCCCACATCCGTCACACACACACACGCCCACATCCGTCACACACACACACGCCCACATCCGTCACACACACACACACACACACACGCCCACATCCGTCACACACACACACACACACGCCCACATCCGTCACACACACACACACGCCCACATCCGTCACACACACACACGCCCACATCCGTCACACACACACACACACACACACACACACACACACACACACACACACACACACACACACACACGCCCACATCCGTCACACACACACACACACACACACACACACACACACACATACACACACACACACACGCCCACATCCGTCACACACACACACACGCCCACATCCGTCACACACACACACACACACACACCCACATCCGTCACACACACACACACACGCCCACATCCGTCACACACACACACACACACACACACACACGCCCACATCCGTCACACGCCCACATCCGTCACACACACACGCCCACATCCGTCACACACACACACACACACACACACACACACACACACACACACACACACACACACACACACACACACACACACACACACACACACACACACACACACGCCCACATCCGTCACACACACACACACACACACGCCCACATCCGTCACACACACACACACCTCGCCTCTGAGTGGACAGCCCTCAGGGGGTCGGGGTCCTATAGAACCGGGTTCGATCCCCGGCAGAGGAAGAATCAAATGGGCAGAGTTTATTTCACCCTGATGCCACTGTTCACCTAGCAGTAAATAGGTACCAGGGAGTTAAACAGCTGCTACGGGCTGCTTCCTAGGGATGTGTGTATGTGTGTGTTTGTGTAATTACCTAAGTGTAGTTACAGGATGAGAGCTACGCTCGTGGTGTCCTGTCTTCCAAGCACTCTTTGTCATATAACGCTTTGAAACTACTGTGTGTGTGTGTGTGTGTGTGTGTGTGTGTAGGAGAACTATTTGTAGTAGACATAATAGAGGAAAAGTATATAGACAGCGACATATGTTCACCACATGTATATAGTCACTACTCATGCCACATATATAATCACTACTCATGCAAACACCTCACATGCCACTTGTGTGAAGTCACTCAAAACACTCATTCTCACACTTCACATGTAAACACGCTAACGATATATTCGTTTGATACATAAATTATACTTTTTTATAAAATACAAACCACCATAGTGTGGCTAGACACTAATTCATTTACTTGGGTTTCTCGAGACTCGAACTCGGACCTGAATAATACTAGACCGAGGTCTGCTTGATACAGGACAACAGTCTTGGTGTTCGATTTTAATTTTTAGTCAAAATTTTGTGTGACTGTATTGTCTCAATATAGTTTATACTGTATTACACCAACTGGTGTTTTTTTTTGGTTGCTGTAGTGTAGTGCTGGAGCAGAGCAGTGTTGGGGCAGAGTAGTGTTGGAGAGCAGTGTTGGGGCAGAGTAGTGTTGGAGAGCAGTGTTGCAATGACGCCGGCGGCGGCACGGTAGCGGCGGCGGCCACCTGATAACTAGTGTTAAAAGCTATGATTTGTTCACATCCGAAACCTGTGTGTATGGGCAGTACAAAACGTCGACCAGACTGTGCGACACAGTGGTTGTCATGATCAGGTTGGGTTACCGTTACCTGTGGCAGGTGGCTACCGTTACCTGTGGCAGGTGGCTACCGTTACCTGTGGCAGGTGGCTACCGTTACCTGTGGCAGGTGGCTACCGTTACCTGTGGCAGGTGGCTACCGTTACCTGTAGCAGGTGGCTACCGTTACCTGTGGCAGGTGGCTACCGTTACCCGTGGCAGGTGGCTACCGTTACCTGTGGCAGGTGGCTACCGTTACCTGTGGCAGGTGGCTACAGGTGACGGGTCTCCCAATCCTCAGCACTCCAGGTGCCAAATTCTATGAGCAGGAACTGCGGCATGATCTCCCACACTACATCACTCAATGTCCAGTTATTACACCCTTCAAACCCGCTGGCATGAGCTACCTGGAGCTTTGCGGTCACTTTATTAACTCTGGTGTTGTCGAGGACATCCTCACCATGCACGAAACGTCCGCCAGTGTAGACTACTGCTCACACGGCCCTGTATGACTGACCGTCCTGCGAGAGGGAGAGGTTTTACCACCATTGTAGTTGCCTCTCGACACACTATCTAGCACCATATTGTCTTGGGGTATCATACATAAATGACCGTCTACTTAAGTATGTTAATAAAAATGTGAGTATGGTGGCGGCGGCGGCGGCCTGGTTGCGGCGGGCTACGGTACAAGGTACCGCTCGGTGCATAGGAATAATGCACTCCGCTTTCTTGCTGTGTACTGAATATTACGGTACTCTCCTCTCTATTGCCAGTACTCACTGATCCTCTCCACCAGCAGTATTCGCTGATACTGGTACTCCGCAGTACACACTGGTACTTTCCAGTACTGACTAGTACTCTTTACCAGAGATACTCGTCAGTACACACTCGTACTCGTGGGGGACCAGACATAATAACTTAGCGATTCTAGCAATATTTTTTTATACAAATATGACAAACTTAGCGCCGTTTTTAGCAGTGAAAACAGACCTAACATGAGGGATATTCTACATGATTCAGGCTTAAAGCGATACTCTCAGCCCGACAAAAAAAAATAATGTCTACAACAAAACCATAATGAATACATTTAATATTATTAACTATTTGTGAGGCTACATAAAGCGGAACTTTGTCAAATATGAGGAGAGGCAGATGAGTGTGAGTTTGTGGGGAAGTGTGAGTGAATATGGTATTGTGAGTGCGTGAGATCATGTGAGTACATGGGGTATTTTGAGTGCCTGGTTACAAGGGGAGAACTTTCAGTGCGTGGGGCCGTGTGAGTGTGAGTGCATTGGTTAGATAAAATGCATAAAGACTAATGTCAGTGCATGAAAAATTGAGTGCGTGAGGCAGTGTGCGTGCGTGAGGTAGTGTGAGTGCGTGAGGTAGTGTGAGTGTTTGGGCAGTGTGAGTGCGTGAAGCAGTGGGAGAGTGTGAGGCAGTGTGAGTGCGTGAGGCAGTGTGAGTGTGTGAGGAAGGAAGACATGACTGGTGGGGAATAAGAGCAACATGAGGACTTACTCTGAAGGTTGACGGGGGTGACGGAGGCCGGGAACATGGCGCGGTGATCCTGAGGCCGCCCCATCACGCCGCACTGCTGCGACCCCACGCCCACGCCCACGCCCACGCCCGTGTTGTAGCCCCGTACCCCCGCGCCCGTGTAGCGGTAGGCTGAGGGCATCTGGGAGCAGGAGGTGAGGTCGCCGTAGGTGTAGGGGGCGTGGCTGGCGTCCATAGACCCGCCGAGCGTCCCTCCGAGGCTGCAGGAGGAGGCTTCGAAGCCCGCCGCCGCCGCCTGGTTGAGGTAGGCGTAGTCCATCCTGCCGGAGGGGGAACTACTGCACCTTCAGCAGAACTACGCTGCCTGCACAACCACCCACAACAAGCAACCACGCTGACAATCCTCAGGTGTGAGATTGTAGACGACCGTCCCCTAATTGTGTTATTAATGCAACTCCTCAAGTCACCGGCCTAATTGCATCAGCGAGCCTATCAAATTATTACAGATGATATCAAATTATTACTGATGATATTAGCGCCGGTCTCTTAGTGCCGTGTGCTCACCACCACGCGGAGAAATCAAATGATAAGCTTAATTCAATAATCACCCGCACTTGTACCCGCGCGATCGGCAACCCAGAAGGCCTGGCCATTGTTCTGGGCGGGGACGAGCCGCCACCGCCGCCGCCCATTGGTCGCCCCCGGTCATGTGATCAATACTGGGCGGAGATATCGACCAAAATGAGAGAGCTCATTGGGCAAAAGTAAGGCGGGGGCGGAGCCTGAGACAACACGAGGCGTGGTCGAGGTTTGGAGACAATGTGGTCTGAAGGCGACTTTGAAAAGGGGGGTTGCAACACGGATCGGAAATCAGTGCCTAATATCTTTTTCTAAAGTTGCTGGCATTGGTTCGCAGGCAGCTTGGCCGGCTCTCTGGCTCTCAGCGTGTTTGGTGTCTTGAGTGTGTGAGTGTGTGTGTGTGTGTGTGTGTGTGTGAGGGCGGTGAGTGGATGAGGGGAGGTGATGAGGTGTGTGTGTGTGCGTGCGTGTGTGTGTGTGTGAGTGAGGGGAGTGTGTCAGGACAGGAGGAGTGAGCCCAGTTCGTGGCTGCTCCTCCCCCATAATACACACATACACGCACAGACACACATATTCACACACACACACATACATGAATGCACACACACACACACACACACACACACACACACACACACACACACACACACACACACACACACACACACACAAACACATACACACACATACACACCCATACACTACCTTTTCATCGACATCATTCACACTCTACACCCTCTCCATCACCCACACTCTACACCCTCCCCATCACCCACACTCTACACCCTCTCCATCACCCACACTCTACACCCTCCCCATCACCCACACTCTACACCCTCTCCATCACCCACACTCTACACCCTCCCCATCACCCACACTCTACACCCTCCCCATCACCCACACTCTACACCCTCTCCATCACCCACACTCTACACCCTCCCCATCACCCACACTCTACACCCTCTCCATCACCCACACTCTACACCCTCCCCATCACCCACACTCTACACCCTCTCCATACACTCTACACCCTCCCCATACACTCTACACCCTCCCCATCACCCACACTCTACACCCTCTCCATCACCCACACTCTACACCCTCCCCATCACCCACACTCTACACCCTCTCCATCACCCACACTCTACACCCTCCCCATCACCCACACTCTACACCCTCCCCATCACCCACACTCTACACCCTCCCCATCACCCACACTCTACACCCTCCCCATCACCCACACTCTACACCCTCCCCATCACCCACACTCTACACCCTCTCCATCACCCACACCCACTCTACACCACTCCATCTTTTGTGTGATATTGGTACTCAATGGATACTCAGTTATTTAGCTCTCCACACTCCCCACCAGTCCCTCACCCTTCCCCATCACCCATACAACTATCACCCCACCCCACACACTCCCCCGTCATCCACAACCATCATCCTCCTCCCCATCCCCCACAAACCATCCCCCACACCCCCTCCACTGCCCATGTGACCCGAAACACTTCACCACAGCCCCATAAGACTGGCTGTTACTCTATTTAAAAGTTCCTTTACTTAATGCCTGCACATGTTGGCTGCCTGCTAGATAAGCCTTGGCCTGCCTGCCTGCTAGATAAGCCTTGGCCTGCCTGCCTACTAGATAAGCCTTGGCCTGCCTGCCTGCCTGCCTGCCTGCCTGCCTGCCTGCCTGCCTGCCTGCCTGCCGCCAGGGCGGGGACGTGGGCCTGGCGGAGGGCAGGCGGGAGGTGTGGCAGCAGGTGGTGGTGGCGGCGGCCCAGTGTGGCGGCCGTAATCATCCCCCTCTCATTATCACGCCATTTCAAGTTGGCAAGATTTAAACTTTGTTGATTAGCCTTCTTTACTCGTCTTGCATACATCCCCGCAACACCTGCTGGCGTGAGGGCCTCCACTCACTCACTCACTCACTCACTCTCTCTCTCTCTCTCTCTCTCTCTCTCTCTCTCTCTCTCTCTCTCTCTCTCTCTCTCTCTCTCTCTCTCTCTCTCTCTCTCTCTCTCTCTCTCTCTCTCTCTCTCTCTCTCACTCTCTCACTCTCTCACTCTCTCTCTCTCTCTCTCTCTCTCTCTCTCTCTCTCTCTCTCTCTCTCTCTCTCTCTCTCTCTCTCTCTCTCTCTCTCTCTCTCTCTCTCTCTCTCTCTCACTCACTCACTCACTCACTCTCTCTCTCTCTCTCTCTCTCTCTCTCTCTCTCTCTCTCTCTCTCTCTCTCTCTCTCTCTCTCTCTCTCTCTCTAAGTCTAAGATTCATTAGAAATTGTACCCGATGTTGCTAACAAAGCTTCAAGCTAAGAGGTGTTACCCTACATCAGCTCAGCTGAAGCCTGTCCTTTGAATTTCAGTTATTTTATGAGCGTATTATTTGTAACCATTACGAGGTAATAACAGTGTAATCCTCAGTACCAATAAGTGGGAGACGGGATGAACCGGGACCTGCGTGCTGGAGTCTTCAACTAGCTCCTTGACTTTATTTCACGTGTATCTACGTGTTCTACGTGAAGTGTATCTACGTGTTCTACGTGAAGTGTGTCTACGTGTTCTACGTGAAGTGTATCTACGTGTTCTACGTGAAGTGTGTCTACGTGTTCTACGTGAAGTGTGTCTACGTGTTCTACGTGAAGTGTGTCTACGTGTTCTACGTGAAGTGTGTCTACGTGTTCTACGTGAAGTGTGTCTACGTGTTCTACGTGAAGTGTGTCTACGTGTTCTACGTGAAGTGTGTCTACGTGTTCTACGTGAAGTGTATCTACGTGTTCTACGTGAAGTGTGTCTACGTGTTCTACGTGAAGTGTGTCTACGTGTTCTACGTGAAGTGTATCTACGTGTTCTACGTGAAGTGTATCAACGTGTTCTACGTGAAGTGTATCTACGTGTTCTACGTGAAATGTGTCTACGTGTTCTACGTGAAGTGTATCTACGTGTTCAACGTGAAGTGTGTCTACGTGTTCTACGTGAAGTGTATCTACGTGTTCTACGTGAAGTGTGTCTACGTGTTCTACATGAAGTGTATCAACGTGTTCTACGTGAAGTGTGTCTACGTGTTCTACGTGAAGTGTGTCTACGTGTTCTACGTGAAGTGTATCAACGTGTTCTACGTGAAGTGTATCTACGTGTTCTACGTGAAGTGTGTCTACGTGTTCTACGTGAAGTGTATCAACGTGTTCTACGTGAAGTGTGTCTACGTGTTCTACGTGAAGTGTATCTACGTGTTCTACGTGAAGTGTATCTACGTGTTCTACGTGACGTCAGCCTAGGAATGAATGATCGCTGATGGAGGGACGGAATTATCAGGGGAAACTGCCAAGCCATTACGACTATATAGCACTTGGAAGATGTCAGGATAAAGATTTGTGATGGGACGGGGGGGGGGGGGGAATGGTGCCCAACCACTTGGACGGTCGAGGATTGAACGCCGACCTGCATGAAGCGAACCCGTCGCTCTACCGTCCAGCCCAAATGGTTGGGAGATATCGCTGATGGAGTGAAGTTGTTGAGAATGACACAGTCAGCGTGAGGCTGTTGATTGCTGAGCGCCTTGTGTTGTAACTGCCAACTTCTGATTGTCCACGAAGTTGGACCAGCTGGGAAACATTGAGAAACATTTGGCGTGTTCGTAACAATAAGCCCGGCCAAAATCTCAGCGGTGTTGAAGACCCCGATCAGTTGAACCAGAACGGGTCAGGACTAGTTTTAGTTTAGTTCATTTATTATGCACCCCATACCCATCCCGTGGGCGGTAGTGGAAAGGGTTACAGAGGCACATAATGGGCTCAGGGACTGAACCCCACAATTCATTTAGCTAAGCAAGTTACAATCTTGATGAGCTAGTTACAAAATTGAATATAAGTCGTCACATCAACAATGGGTTCGAGATCGAGACTAGAGAGGACTCTTCTCACACGGCTCTCCACCTCGTCCAGAGGTTAGACACGTGAAGGGGAGAGCAGGGCATCCAGGACAGCGGTGCATACTCAAGGTGGGAGGGGTCTTGAGCCTCGTGTATGGTTTTGCAGTCCCTGATTTCAAGAAAACATGAAATTCGCCCTAAGACTAAGTTTCTTGGGTGCCTTGCTTGCCAGGTTAAGCACGTGACTTGTCATGGTCACTGAAGAGTCGAACATCATTGCCATGAAGTCAGTCTCGTCACCGAGCAATGGTTTTTTTTTTTTGCCGTTCTTTTGTGCGTCTGTCACAGTTGCAGCATAAAGCTGCCTTGTCATTGTCATCACCTGTGCGGGGGTTTTCTACTACACATGTAACTTGTCGTCGCCTTTTCTAGGTACATATTGCTGCAGGATAGTGATCAGTGCCTCGTAGCGGCTGGTATTGTTTTGTTTATATAGATAACTTGGGGTTTACCCGGCTGTGCCCGGGTCTCTCTCTCTCTACCCCTCTTCCTCACTCACCCCCCCCCCCTTCCTGCTCTCCCAATCTTCTCCTCTCTCTCCTCTTTCCCACCCCCCTCCTCTCCAACTTTCTCCCCTCTCACTCCATCTACTCTCTCCTATTCTCTCCCTCACTCATGCTCTCCTTTCCCCTTTCCTTTCCCTTCTCCCAGTGTTCCCCCCCCCTCTCTCTCTCTCTTGCCTCTCCCCTTCTTCTCCCCTTTCACCCATTTCCACCTGTCTTCCCCCCCCCTTCTCCTTTCCTCTCTTCAAAGATCTCCCTTGTTCCCCCTTCGCCTTCCTTCTCTTCCTATCTCTGTCTCTTTATCTGCCTCTGTTTCCGTATCCTTTTCTATGTCTGCCTCTGTGTCTTTCTCTTTCTCTTTGCTAACTGTCTCACTACATCTCCTTTATCAATATAATACCTGTATAGAACTCTACCATTGGCATGTGGGTGGTCTGCCAGTGGGAGGAGCCAAGTGGCGTGAAGTATTACAAATATATAATAGTTATCCGTTTGCGTTGAGGGTCAACGATTCTTCGCGGCAGGGGATCGTATTCCAGGGACCATAGGATTAAGGACCTGCCCGAAACGCTACGCGTACTAGTGGCTGTACAAGAATGTAACAACTCTTGTATATATCTCAAAAAAAAAAGGAAGGGGCGGGGCTTTATAAACGTTTGAAGCTGTAGGGATCCCGTCTGTTTTATGTTACTGACGCCAAAGTATGAATAAAGGAAATATATGTTAATTTTCCTGAGATCAGTAAATAATGGTGTATACATTACTATAAGACAAAAAACTAATTTTTTGTTAGTTTTTCTTCAAAATATTTAGCTAGGTGTAGCCGGCGACCAGCGCCGAAAATCGTCGTGGGGGTCAGAAAGTGAACCCTGGCTTGCTGGTCCATCTTGAACTCTGACAATCCCAGTCAGTCCGTCCATTCAACCTGCAAACTTGGGAGAGGCTAGCCCCGTACGTCTGGCCTCCAGCCTTGAACAGAGAGAGGTAAACATACATTATCTCATATAGAAGATTAGAGTACAGTCATCAGCATAGGCCTGAGCTTCAGGGATGAGGTGTTGTAGATCGTTGAAGTAGACATGCCACAACACAGGGCCCAGCACACTGCCCTGCGGTACACTGGCACCAGTTGGGTAGTTTCCAGATTATGCTCCACTGTGGACTGCTCTTTGAGTCCAGTCTTGAAGTTAGTCCCTTATTAGCAATAAAATGGAGCCTGAAATACCAAGTGTTTAAAGCTTTGCTAATAGTCCTGAGTGTCATACCTTAAAGGCTCCTCAAATGTCCAGTGCAACAACACAGATTATTTTTGGAATCTTCCAGTGACTGATGCCACTTAATGGTGAAATTTAGCAAGAGGTCAGCGGGAGAACGACCTTTCCTATACCGAAAATATCGACCACACAGTAACCGATGATGATGAAAACAAATTTCTTATTTGCTGCGAGACAAATATCTCAAGAATGTGTCCAGTAACTGAAAGCATTGACACTAGTCTGTAGTTTCTGACTGCTGGACGGCTCTTCATATCGTGGACCAGAACCACATCTCCCTGTTTCCATATGGCGTGCCAAGTTCCTTTAGCTAGGCAGAGTTGGTAGATTCACGTGAGAGGCGAAGCCTGGAAGTCCGCTCAACGGTGTAACAGTCTTAGGCTGACCTTGTCCGGCCCCGCTGCCTTACCTGCGTCCAGTGATTGAAGTAGATGGTGGACTTCATCCTGCTGGACAACTACTTCACACAACTTGGACATAGTGCTTGGATCAAGCTGTGGAGGTTGTCGTTCTACATCTGGCACTTTCATGTTGGAAGCAAAATGGTTTGCCAGTTGGCCACACATTTCTTTATTGGAGGATGCAACTGTCCCATCTTCCCGGGTCAGTGGCGGCATTGTGTCCACAGATGAATACTCAAGAAACCCCTGACTTTGGATCCTTATCTTCCTGGTGCAAGTTTTCTTCTTGTTTCCGATTCCCATCTGGAGATAGCCCCACTTTTGAACGTCTTTCATTAGAAAACAATCTCGTCTATGAATGTTCCAGTTGTCCCTAAGACAGGTTGTCGGAGTTAATTCTTCTTCCCAATCTGTCGGGATAGCTACTGTAGTGAAGACAGCCTGGCTTTCTGATGAGCCAATTGCATGCATAGTCCAAGGGTTTCCCATGGACTATGCATGCAGATAAATCAGTTACGAACAAATCAAGAGAAGAACCAGTGATATAAGTTTGGAAGGTTGAAATTTTCCCAGTTTGTCCATCAGGAAGTTGATTCGGGCAGCATCCTATCCACTGAGATGCGTGCATTGAGCACACCAGGATGGATGTTCTGTGATTACACAACTGGAAGAACATAATTCCTAGATAAACATGGATGACAACATCAATAGGCTGGGCATACCCCTAAGGTCCAACTAGTGACATTTCTCAGAAATGCCACCCCACAACAGTTGCCTGAATCCCGGGAATTTGTTACTGCTCGCTCGCTCGCGCTCTCTCTCTCTCTCTCTCCACACATTTATACTTACCTCTGCGCTGTTGTGGGTTGCTTCGTGGAGGAGGTCAGTAGATGACGTACTGGGAGAGGGGTAACACGATAATAATATATAACACCTATTTCGGACTTTTCCCCATTTTTTCTTCAGGAAGACCGCACCTTATGTATAATTATTGTTATCTAAAAGATATCGACGCCATCAATTGAGCGCACCCGACCCCATTTTCTGTTCCACGGTGGAAGGCTATGATCCTATTTGACCCCTGTTGTAGGAAGCAGGAAGCAGTTCACCCAGAGCAGTCCTGAACTGAAGACGTGTTCCAGTGGGAACAAGTGGCCGAGTCAGTGTTGACTCTGATTTGTCTGTGATACTTAGCGAAGTATTGGTGATTGGACCGACGTAACCCGGGATTGCCGAGTTACAAGATGGAAGTACTGTCTGTCTGTTAAGGCTTGTTATAAGTCTGTGTTCTGTATGGAAGTCTACCAGCGTGTTGCTGGAGAGTAGAAGAATTGTTGTAGCGCCGTGATGATACCGTAGAGGACTGGCCCATGATAAACTGAGAAAGACGAACTCACCGGTGTGAGGACCATAGAAAACAGACGAAGGGAAGAACCTTGAGTGATGTACGATAGAAGATAAAAGTGGACTCGCCGGGAAAGAAGATTCCAGAAGTTGTATAGTGTCCTGTGCGAAAGTGACACCTGCTGTGTTATGTCTTGTACATATGTGTTTATTTAGAGTTAAGAAGTACACTCGGTGATCGTTCTGTTTAGTGCTGTTTATCCACCTTTTTCTTTAGATTAACTATTGCTGCCAGTTCTTAACTTACCTATAACTTACCTATAACTATAGGTAACTTACCTATAACTCGGTTGGTAAGTAAAGAGCCCGGTTACTGGCCAAGTGAGGCCGCAATACTTGTTATGTATAAGAATAACCATGTATAAAGATTTATGTATAAATATTGGAATGTGTAAGTATTGTTGTGGCAGCGTGTCACAGCTCTAGATAAGTAGTCGCCAGCCTTCAGGTACTTCAAGATGTCTTCGCTAAGCTGTCTTAGTTAAGCCTTCGCTAAGCTGTCTTAGTGAAGTCTTTGCTAAGCTGTCTTAGTGAAGTCTTCGCTAAGCTGTCTTAGTGAAGTCTTCGCTAAGCTGTCGTAGTGAAGTCTTCGCTAAGCTGTCTTAGTGAAGTCTTCGCTAAGCTGTCTTAGTGAAGTCTTCGCTAAGCTGTCTTAGTGAAGTCTTCGCTAAGCTGTCTTAGTGAAGTCTTCACTAAGCTGTCTTAGACAAATATCACAGCAAAGAATGAGGGGGAATAATAACCATTTTCTATACTTAGGAGGCG